AGAAGGGAGAAAAAAAGATTTGAAAACAGTGTATAATCAATTATAGAAGAGCAATTTGAATCAGACTAGTATTTGAGTTGAGACGCCTTTTTAAAAACCCTTAAAAAGAGGAAAAAGATCAAAAAATGATATTTGAAATCTATTTATAATCAATAACAGGAGATCAAACCCAAAAGAAATGAAAATGAAATCAGGTGGATTTTTTTAAAAATAACACTATAACTACTTTAAAAGAAAGATTTAAAAGGAATTAAGACTAGAAGCATATACAATTGTTTAGAAAGAAAAATTTTAAAAGGAATTAAAACTAGAAGCATATACAATTGTTTAGAACGTAGAAATTAAAGAGGTAGTAAAAAAATAGAACAGATTAAAAGATATGATAGAGAATTTTGAAAAAGGGGAGAAAAGAAAGGTTTGAAAACAGTGTATAATGAATAGTTGAAGAGCAAGTTGAAGCAGAATAGCAATCTTGTTGAGATGTCTCTTAAAAGCCTTTAAAAAGGGGGGAAAGAGAAAAAAATATATTTGAAACCTGTGTATAATCAATAACAGGAGATCAAAACCAAGAGAGAGAAAAATGATATGCTGTGGGTTTTTTAAAATAATAACAATATTATTTTAAAAGAAAAATTTAAAAGGGATTAAAATTGGGAGGGTATGTAATTGTTTAAAAAGTAAAAGTTAAAAAGGTAATAGAAAATACAACAGGTAAAAACAGATTTAAAAAAAAGGGGGGGGGTGTTCTCCTGGAGTCTGTGTGCTCTTAATGAGAAGTCTTTCTGTCTTCGCCCTGTTTCACGAACTCAGCTTGCTGTTTCTAGAGGCCCTTCGTTGGCGCCCTAGTCTGTGCTGCTCCCAGTGCCTGTCAGCAACCAGATCGTGCCGCCCTCCCAGTACAGCGTTCCTGCCAGAAAGGCAGGAGGCCACCCACCATCCCCTGGCACCGGTGGCTCTGCCCCGGGGCGGCACTCCGCTGGCGGGCCCTGGGAAGCCTGCGGAACAGCCCCACCCCTGTTCCGTGTCCAAACTCAGCTCCTTGTTTGTCCTGGCAGCATGAACTTTGCGAGGCACCAGGGTGGAAGGATCCTATCTGACTTGGGCTGCAAACAAGTCACTGTCTGACCTTTGAGGCTGCTGAACCCCCAGGCGTGGATTCAGGTTTCGCCCCCGCCCCCACCTGGGTGCCAAGCGTCGGAGGATATGGCAGCAGTGCCTGAGCCCTGCCTCTCCTCTCTGAAAACCTTCCCTGGGTTTCAGAGATGGTGGTATGCACCCTTCCCCCCAGGGCACATAAGACGTGCTGTTTTATGGCGGGCCCAGGTGGTTCTACCCTGTCACCCACTCATTCACATTGCGCAGCAACCTGTAGTCCCCTGGGGCTGCCTCAGTGCAGCAGTCCCTGTCCTCCGCCCAGCTTGGGCAGCCTGTCCCGGCCCCCAGCTCCCTGCTCGGGTCTCGGGCTGGGTGTCGCAGGGACCCTCTGTGCCCGTTTAACTTAGTTCTGTAGGTCAAGGGCTGCTCTGTACAGATCCGAGCTTCGGAGGCTCCCCCTCCATGCCGCTGGCCTCTCCGTTGGAGAGGGGGAGACCCAGCGAACGAGCACTAGTCCCCCTTTGCTGCTCCCTGCCTGTGGGACTGGTCCTGCACTGTTTTGCCTTTTCGTCTTTCTTTTTTTCCCTTTCTCCTACCAGATTTTTGGCGTCTTTGTCTTTTGAAGAGGACAGTGTTCTGTCAGAGTTCCGCAGGTGCTCTGGTTGACTGAGTGGGTCCGTGGATGTGAGTCTTGGTGTATCTGTAGGAGACGGTGAGCTATGAGCGTCCTACTACTACGCCATCTTGGCGTCTCCTTCTGCAGTGTCTTAATTAGATTCTTGAGCCCTCCAAGAGCCAATTTTGTTTGAGGGTAGCTGTCTACTTTTTGTTAGTGGTGAAGGCTGGTGTCCTCTGCTGTTACGCTGACATCACTTTCCCAGATCTGTTTTCTGGGTCTCTTGTGTGCCACTTTGCTCAGGGACAGTGCAGGTCATTTGTCCTGTTTTTCCTTTAGGATTTGTATCGTGTATGCCCATGTAGTTGCTCAACTAGAGCTTATAAGAAGGAGTCCTTTATGCATCCCAAGATGGGCGTGACTCCAGGCATGACAAGGTGGGCTGAAGAGGGGGCCTGGTTCTGGTGAATGGCAGCTGGGGAGAGTGTGACATCATGGCTGTGTTCAGATCATAACAGGAAACTGTCTTTCTTCAGCCAGAGTTTTGGTGCCATTTCCAGTAGCCATACATTATTTCTACCTTTCCTTTTCCACTGCTAACACTTTGCTGATTTCTCATTTCCACTACTTTGTCATTCCTACTGTGACTTCCAGCCCAGGGATAATCTCTGCCTCTCTGGGCCCCACATCTCATTCATTTCTCTCACCACCTTTTTTGTAGAACTCTCCAAAATTGGTCCACACATGTTGTGCTGTATGATATGTTCACATTTCTCTAAATTGAACCTCAATAGCAGCTAGTATGTTGCAGTGGGATTTTAATGGGTTTGGATGCACACTTCTACCCAGTCTCACATCAGCAGCAGAAAAGTTCCTGCCAGAAGCCACTGGGAGAGAAGTGAGTTGTGCTTCTCTTCTTTGTGTCATACCCTGTCCTTTGTATCCTTCCCCAATGATGTCCCCACTACTCTGTGACCTTGAAGCCCAATAATGAATGCACAACAGTCAGCTGTTCCTTCAACTGAATTCCAACCCTCTTGTCTTGAAAAGCATCCTGTAGACTCAGATCAAGATGAGACAGATGCACATTTGTGGTGAGTTGGCCCATCCCTGTATCAACAGGTACTTGACCAGCGTCTCTTTCTGTTCAGGTTGCTGCTGTGGACCAGGGGATGCAGAGGCACCTTTTGAATGGACAGTTTCTCTGGGAGGGTCACAGGCCAGGACTCCCAAGGCAGCTTTGTCTTCCCAGAAGACCTACCCCTGCAAGATGTGTGGTCCAGTCTTGAGAGACATTTTCCACTTGGCTGAGCACCAGGAAACACGACACAGCCAGAAACTGTTGAGGTGTTGGGCATGTGTGAAACAGTTTGATTTTAGTGCAGACTTTCAGCAGCACCAGGAGCAACACATGGGAGAGAAAACCCTCAGAAGCAGCGTGGACAAGGCCTTGTTTGTGAAGAGCTGCAGATTCCATGTGTCACAGAAGCCATTGACTTGGGGGACGATTGAAAAGGACTTCCCCGCCATCACGGGACATCTACAGCAACAGGCCACTCAAAGTGTGGAGAAGCCAAACCCAATCTCCCAGTGCGGGTCAACTTTACAAAGCCAGAAAAGTCATCATGCCTGGGGAGAGTGCAAGAAAACCCTCAGCCCCAAAGACACACTTGTTCAGGACCAGGGTGTCCACACCGAAAGACAGTGTTTTGTGTGTAGTGAATGTGGGAAAGCATTCAAGTACAAATCCTCGTTTGTTGTGCACCAGAGAGTCCACCCTGCAAAAAGCCTTCATGTGTGTGGTGAATGTGGAAAATCCTTTAGGCGAAGCTCAACCCTCAGTCAACATCAAAAAATTCACAATGGGGCAAGGCAGTACAAGTGCAGCAAATGTGGGAAATCCTTAAATCACAAATCTGTGTTCATTCATCCCCACACATGGCACAGTGGAGAAAACAGTTACGTGTGTAGTGAATGTTCAAAATCTTGTAGCCGTAGCTCAGTGTTCATTCCACATAGGAGAGTTCACACTGAAGAAAGGCCTTACAAGTGTAGCGACTGTGTGAAATCTTTTACTTCTTTGTCCGCGCTCAGTTATCATCAGAGATCTCATACGGGAGAAAGACCTTATGCATGCAGTGACTGTGAGAAATCTTTCATCTCTAGCTCTGACCTCCGTTATCATCAGAGAGTTCATTCTGGAGAAAGGCCTTATGAATGCAGTGACTGTGGGAAATCTTTTATCACTCGTACTGCTCTCCGTTATCATCACAGGGTTCACACTGGAGAGAGACCCTATGGGTGTAACGAATGTGGCAAGTCCTTTACCCGAAAAAACAACCTGATTATACACTTAAGAGTTCACTCAGGAGAACGGCCTTATGAGTGCAGTGAATGTGGGAAGTCTTTTACCTTTAGCTCCAGCCTTCGTTATCATCACAGAGTGCACACTGGAGAAAGACCTTATGCGTGTGGTGAATGTGGGAAATCTTTTAACAACAGGTGGACACTCATTCGGCACCAGAGAATTCACACAGGAGAAAAGCCTTATGTGTGCAATAAATGTGGGAAGTCTTTTTCCTGTAGCTCCACCCTCCAGTATCATGAGCGAGGTCATCTTGGGGAAAGGCCTTATGGGTGCAGTGAATGTGGGAGATCTTTTACCACTAGCTCTGCCCTCCGCTATCATCAGAGAATTCATACTGGAGAAAGGCCTTATGAGTGCAGTGAATGTGGGAAATCTTTTATTTCTAGGTCTGACCTCCATTATCATCAGAGGGTTCATTCTGGAGAAAGACCTTTTGAGTGTAGTGAATGTGGGAAGTCCTTTATTCGAAGAAATAACCTCATTTTACACCAGAGAGTTCATACAGGAGAAAGGCCTTACAAGTGTAATGAATGTGGGAAATCTTTTAACAATAGGTGGACACTTATTCAACACCAGAGAGTTCACACAGGAGAAAAGCCTTATGTGTGTGGTGAGTGTGGGAAATCTTTTACCTCTAGCTCTACCCTCTGTTATCATCAGAGAGTTCATGCGGGAAAGAGACCGTATGAGTGCAGTGACTGTGGGAAATCTTTTACCTCTAGCTCTACCCTCCGTTACCATCAGAGAGTTCACACAGGAGAACGGCCTTATGAGTGCGGTGAATGTGGGAAGTCTTTTACCTTTAGTGCCAGCCTCCGTTATCATCACAGAGTGCACACTGGAGAAAGACCTTATGAGTGCAACGAATGTGGGAAATCCTTTAAGGATAGATCGCAATTCAATAAACACCGGAGAGCTCACACTGGGGAAAGGCCTTATGAGTGTAGTGAATGTGGGAAATCATTTAGCCAAAAATCTTCCCTCTCAACACACCAGAGAATTCACGATAGAGAACGGTCTTATGAGTGTAGTGCGTGTGGGAAATCTTTTACCTCAATCTCTGGACTTGGTTATCATCAAAGAGTTCACAGGGGAGAGAAACCTTACCAGTGCAATGAATGTGGGAAATCTTTTACCAATAGCTCTATACTGATTCGACACCAGAGAGTTCACACAGGGGAAAGGCCTTATGTGTGCAATGAGTGTGGGAAATCTTTTACGAGTAGTGCCACCCTCTCTTACCATCAAAGAGTTCATGCAGGAAAAAGGCCTTATGCGTGCAACAAATGTGGGAAATCTTTTACCTCCAGTTCCACCCTTCGTTATCATCAGAGAGTTCATGCAGGAGATAGGCCTTATGAGTGCAGTGACTGTGGGAAATCTTTTATCTCTAGCTCCAAACTCCGTTACCACCAGAGAGTTCACACAGGAGAAAGGCCTTATGTGTGCAGTGAATGTGGGAAATCCTTCAGGGATAGTTCCCAATTTAGTCAACACAGAAGAGGCCACACTGGAGAAAGGCCTTATGAGTGTAGAGAATGTGGGAAATTTTTTATGCGAAAGTCTACCCTTTCTCAACATCAGAGGCTTCACACTAGAGAAAGGCCTTAGATGTACAGGAAATGTGCAGTTTTCTTGTTCAGTGTAAGGCTGCCAGAGGAACTGAGGAGCTGTCTGAATTGAATCTCATCCAGGTGAGCATGCAGAGTGGGGAGGTTCTTGGTAAGTTTAAGTTACATGGGAAGCATCTGTGGCTATGTTACACTTTCTAACCCATCCATGGCTCTTCTCTGTGGTCAAGGCCATTTCACCTCTACTGCTGCACAATGTGCATCAGTCACCAAGCCATTGTGCTCAGGGAAGCTGACCTCTGTTATCCTGTGTATTGGTCAAATTAGGAGTCACTTGAGTCCTTATGGTGTCATCTTTCACTCGTCCTTGACTACCTTGGACATGGACATGGGTCAGTGTTTTCCCAGGGGATGTCCTAAGTTCAGCTGACAGTTTGCAGAGAGTGACTACCTTTTCCAGGGATGTGTTGGTCTCATGTGACACTAATAATGAGCGTTTCTGGTAATGAACTGGAGAATTGCCTGCTGCAGATTTCTTTGGCTTGTACAATAATCAAGGCCTTACAAATGCTTTAAGTCCTCTTTAATCTTGGATGTTATTTACTCTGCAGGTAGTTTATAGACAGATTTGTGCTGTACAAGCGTAAAGGGGAGAAAAAATTTAGGGGATCTCAAAAAACTTCTACATCTGAGGAGGGACAGTATGATGGCAGTGACTTGCCAGTTTTGACCACATTTGCCTTGCTGCCCATAGCTGCCTAGGGAAGACAGCAGGGATTTCTGGTCCCTACTTGAGGCCTGGAAGCTTTGCATCTTAGGAATCTCAGAGTTGACTGTGAGACACGAGCAGCTGTGAGAACCTCTAAGTGCTTCTAAGAGCAGCATGAGTTTTTTTCTTTACTCAAAGGAAAGATCACAGAATATTCCAGCACTGTTAAGGATGTGCTCCCTAGGTCTACAGAGAGCTGTATTTCCTGATGTCCATCACTGGGCTAGGGTCACTGGTTGTAAGACCATTCGGTCCAGGGGAAGCCCTAACTGGTATGGAATCACTGGCTTAGTAACGAGAGGAGGAGACTGCAGCCAACAAGTGGAATGCTCCTTTTCTAAAAGTACGTGCACAAATGTCTGTGCGTAGATGACTGTGCAGATCAGTCTGTATGCAAGTCTCAGTACCTCCTGGCATGTTTATCTTGTGTAGCTAAAGCCATCAGAGAAAATAAAAATAATTAAAAGGCTTTGTGGATTCCTGTAGCCTCTCTGTAATGTTCGCCTCAAGGCCTTAACTACACAGGCAGGAAGAAAGATAGGGAGAAGGGGTTCTGTAGTCCACGGATGTGGCTCTTGTGACCCAGACGGCATTCCTTTGACTTCTGGTAAAAATGCTCCTTATTGCTCACTGTATTTGCTGCCACTGAGGCAAAACTGACCCCTCTGTGCCCCAAGGCATAAGGAGAGAGATGGTGGAGTCAGTACAGGGTTGCCAAACCTATTTTCCAAAAAGAATGGGGTGTACAGATCTTTAAGTCTTGAACTATGTTTTTTAAAGCTTTACTAAGGTAGAATTTACATGTGCTAAACTGAATATATTTAAAGTGTACAATTTGATAAGTTAACAGAGGTAAGAACCTCTGAAACCATCATCGTAGTCCTAATAGTGACCATGTCTGTCACGGTACATTTACCTCATGTCCTATTACAATCTCCTTGCCTTTCTCACGTCTCCAAGTAACCATTGATTTACTTTCCCTTGTAATAGATACCTTGCATTTTCTTGAATTTATATGATTGGAATCATACACTGTTCACTGTATTTTTTTCAGTTTTCTTTTATCATAATTACTTTGAGATTCACCAATGATATATAAATACTACTTTTTTTGGCTGAGTAATGTTTTTGAATATGCTATGATTAGTTTATTCATTCAGTTTTATAGGCATTTGTCTTGTTTCTAGACTTTGACTACTGAAAATAAAGCTGGTATAAGCATTGTTTTAGTTCTTTATATGAATATATATTTCTTTTATCTTTTGTCAATGTAATAATGTATGAGTCACAAATATTTTACTTTTGAAGACACTAACATTGTGATCTAAAATGATTATACCTTTTGCATCTTACCAGTAATGTATGAGAGTTCCATTTCTTCCACATTCTACTGAATATTTGGTTTATCAGTTGTTTTAATTTTAGCTTTTTAATTGAGGTTTTAGAGTTATGTCACTTTTTGTTTTAATTGAATTTCTTTTTTTAACTTTTTTATTGATTTATAATAATTGAATTTCTATAAGGATTCTTGATGAGTATTTTTTCAGATGTTCATTTGCTATCTGTGTTATCTTCATTGAAATGTCAGCTCATCTTTTTCTTATTATTTATTGGCCTTTGCCTGTTTTCCTTTAACAAATAGGACAGTGAAACAACAAAGATGTATGTTGGAATTTCACTTATTTTTTAATAATGTGAGTGGCTTTGCTTTATGGAATAACTTTTTAATACTGACAGAATTTTCTAACTTAAGGAAAAATGTTGGTGCTACTCACAATGGAATGGATGCTTCTACCATACCCTTTTAAAATTTAATCTCCATTGTTGATGTATTCTCCATCACATTCTTAAGTTCCATCATTGAGGAAAACAATAAAGCCTTGCTTTGTAGTGGTTACGCATTTTCCCAGTTTATCACCATGGAAATTGGTGGGTTGGAGCAGATGAGGACAAGATTTTATCAGGATGGATTGGGCTTTACTCTGAGTCCCAAAGCCTGGCTAGGAGGGAATGAAGAGGTCAGTGGTAAGACTCCACAAGTCCTTGTCCGGGCTGCCTGGGGTTAAGTTCTGGATCCATGACCAGTGCAAGGACCTTCCTCACCAGGTCTGTTTCCTCCTGTGTAAGTAGGGAGTGGGGGTTAGGAACTGCCCTGCCCGCTGGTTCACTGGAAGATGTGAAGAGCTGAGGTGTCCACTCCTCTGTGGCTCTTACTGCGAGTGACATCCTGGGGCCAGGAATCTTTAGCTCCCACAGATGTCCCCAGACCCTAGGACCCCCAGGTGCATGTCAGAAGTAAATGGGGCTTCTCACAACCCCCTGATTTGGGTCAGTTCCCATGGACCTGTCTGTAGGGAGGAGGGAGCTGCAGGGTCCTGAGCGCTTGGTGTGGATTCCCTGCTGAGAAATACCTGGGCAACTTGCTAGAGCTTCTTGAGCCTCAGCTTGCTGACTGTGGTTGCAGAGGTGTTCACTTCGCCCCCTGGGAGGATCAATGAAAGTAACAAAACACTGAACACTTACTTACACCAGAATTCCAGGGTTTATATTTGAGCTTGTATGTGACCTACTTATTTAAACTTTTAAAATGTGAAATATTTCCATAACTTTTCCTTTTCACAATTGTCTTATTTTACTTAACTATAATTTATTGGTATTTTTATTGTATTAGTAATATCCTAGTTTTGTTAAGTTTTATGGGGTGCCATGTATTAATATAAATGCCATGTAAATATACTACAAAATTTTACTCAATCCATATTGTGTATGATGTTACAGCTTATTTTCTCATTAATCCACTTAACTCTGTAAACAAGAACACACTCATCAATTGGTGGATTATCACAAAAACATTTTGATTCTTTTACCTCTGTTTGCCAGAACTGCTGAATTCTCTTCAGACCCTCTGTAAACAAATGTGATTTATTATGCTGGAATGCAAAATAACTAGCTCTATTAGAGTATGTTATTCCACAAACCAGATTATTTTTTCATATAGTTAATTTTTTTAGTTCTTTAGTAGTCTTCCCCCCTCCCCAATTCAGTGCAAGTTTTAGTTAAGAATAAGTTGTTTATTTAATATGATGTAAACAATAGACAACTACTTGGAAAGACAAAAAGCATTCTTATTTCAATGAATATTTATTTGAATGCACTAGAAAAGTTCCAAATAAGTTTAAAAAAAATCCAAGTCAGTGAAATGTGGCTGATAAAAGTATAACTGGTGAAGTAATAAATATTGGTAGCTTTCATAAAAATAGCCTGTTACAAAATATTGCCCAATATTTTATGGTTTGCATGGATATGGAAAAAATATAATTCTTTTTTACATTATACGAGTTACTTTTGTCATTATTTAAATTTAGTTGTTACTGTATTTTACTTATATTTTTATTTACAAAAATCAAAAGTATTTTTTTGGTTTTAAATTGGGGCCTTGCCTTGTAATTACTTGAACACCTGAGTAAAAAAAATTTTTTTTTACATTTTTAATATTTATTTTATTGAAACATAGTTGCTGTATAATATGTTATAGGTGTACAATATAGTAATTCACAATTTTTAAAGGTTATAGTTATTATAAAATATTGGCTATATTCCTTGTGTTGTACAATATATCCTTATAGTTTATTTTATACCCAATAGTTTGCACCGCTTATTTCTCTACCCCCTACATTGCCCCTCCCCGCTTCCCTGTCCCATCTGGTAACCACTCGTTTGTTCTCTGTATGTCTGTGAGTCTGCTTCTTTTTTGTTACATTCACTAGTTTGTTTTATTTTTTAGATTCCACATATAAGTGATGTACAGTATTTGTCTTTCTCTGTCTGACTTATTTCACTTTGCATAATGCCCTCCAAGTCCATCCATGTTTCTGCAAATGGCAAAATTTCATTTTTATGGCTGAATAGTATTCCATTGTGTGTGTATGTATGTAATACATACCACACATATATATGGACACTTAGGTTGCTTCCATGTCTTGGTAATTGTAAATACTACTACTGTGAACATTAGGGTGCATGTATCTTTGTGAATTATTGTTTTAGGTGTTTTTTTTTAATATATCACATGCTAGTTCTAGTTATAATTTTCTAGATCTCCATAATGTTTTCCACGATGGCTGCACCAATTTACATTCCCACCAACAATGTACGAGGTTTTGCTTTTCTCCCCACCCTTTTTAGCATTTATTATTTGTAGATTTTTAAATAATGGGCATTCCTACCTGTGTGAGGTGATATTGTATTGTAGTTTTGATTTGTATTTTTCTAACAATTAGTGATGTTGAGCATCTTTTCTTGTGCCTATTGGCCATTTGTGTGTTTGGAGAAATGTCTATGTAGGTATTCTGCCCATTTTTGATTGTGTTGTTTCCCCAGAGTGGTATCTGTCAGTCTTTGAATAACTACATAAACATTATTAACTTTATGAAACTTGCATTCCAAAACTATTTTCTGATATTATCTCAGTTCCCCATGAAGAAATGTACCTTCAATCACTGGGAAATGATTATCACTTACCAGCAAGGACACGAGATCACATTCTTAAGATTCCCTCTTTCATATTGGTGTTCAGATACTCCCTTTCATATGTGCTGTGAATGTCAAAGTTGCAGCTACTGACTCATACCCAAATAACATTGGTTAAGTTGCTCTCCATTTGAGATGGATGAAAGTGTTCCTCAGTGAGTGACTGACTCTACAGGCAAGAGAAAAGTGTTGGGTGGAACCAGAAGCAGAACTCCTGCTTGTTCACTTAATTCATAATACCCGTCTTTTTTGCCACTCATAGCCCTGTATGGAGTATTTTCTCTTGCTAACAGCGAGTCATAATAGAACTTTAAAAGGGTACTCTGGCGTCAGATACATGTAGTTGAAGAACAATTATATTATGTGTCCAACTATGTGCTGACTCATTTTATGTTCGAATGACTCTATAACACAGCCATTTAGAACTGTAGATTTGAGGGCATCTCAAATAATATTTTTATTTTCTGGGAGCTGAAGAAGTCTTAAGTTATTTTTCTTTGATGCAGCTAACACTGAACAAAGCCCCTCCCGCCCTCGAGGTAGGCTGACCGATTACCAACATCCTTCCAGGTGTCGCGTGGCAAAAGTTCTTGTCGGTCAGGAAGGGGAACACCCTCTCCGGGGACCTCTAGAGCCCTGGGAACTACATTGCCCGGAAGAGCCTGGGCGGAGTTGAGCCAAGGAAGATTGGAATGAAGGCATTTCCGGGCGAACTCTTGAAGTCGGGGAGGGACTTCCGGCCTCCTCCTCGTGGCGGCCATTTTGACGGCTTTGGGTCAGTTCTGGGTTCGGGGCGCTGGATCAGGACCCAGGTGACAGGATTGCGGAGGCGCGGGAGGACGTCTTGTCTCTCCCCGGTGCACAAAGGCGACGCCTCCTGGGGTGTCCTGCGCCAGACTGGGGACAGGGGCCGCCGTGCCCGCGTCCCCCTCCTCTCCGGCCGCTCCGGCCCTCAGACCCCGATGGCGGCGGCCGCGCTGAGGGACCCGCCTCAGGTAAACGTCCGTCCTCCGGGCCCGCACCGCCCTCTCCCGCCGGACACTAGAGCCCCGTGTGCGGGGCGCCTGCTCGCGTGCCTGAGGCCCGGGCCCCGGGGTCCAGGCGGGGGAGGCGGCCGCGGGTGGGGCCGTGTTTTGACAGACGATGTGACGGCGCGGGGAGTGGCCCCCAGGCAGAGAGGAGGATACATATAAAGGCTGGAGGTCGGACTGAGGCGGGGCGTTTCGGGAAACATGGGGTCAGTCTGATACCTGCATCGAACAGAGTGAGGCAGAGTGGCACCTGGACCGGCAGAGAGGTTATTCGTTCGTTCTGAGGGGTCTGGAGGCCATGAAGGGTGGTGGACAGAAGAGGGAGACATTCTGAGTTAGTGTTTAAAAGTTATTAGAATGCTTCTGGGAGAGGAAACAGACTGGAATATGAATGTTTGAGACAAGCCCAGAGAACTAGAGTCCTTGTCCAAGGTCTGAAATCTAGTTAGAGGCACCTCCAAGGACTGAAACACGGTGGTTAGTAAATTAATCTGAGGTCACCAGGTTCCAGGATTGGATGGAGATACGGGAGAGTCCTGTACACATGGAGCCCAGCGTCGGTGACCTTCGTCGTCCCAGGTTCTGAAGGTTGGAAAAGCTCTTAGGGATCCTACACAAGGCGGGAGGGGGTGCCCAGTGCTTCACTGGTAGGGTTTCTGGGTATTGTGTCTTGAGAATCTTCCCTTGATACATTGGGAGGGAAGACTGGCAGGCAGACTGTAAGGGCTGTAGTTTTAAGGAAGAGTAAGTAGAGACAGGAGGGTTGTGACTGTTGAGGGTACAGATAGTGCATCACAGAAGTGCAGGAATGTCGTGGGTGTGGCTAATACTGAAGCAAGGATCATAAACAGGTGGAGAGGCATTCAAAGGAGCATGAGGAGCTTTCCCTGGCATTGGGATCCATCAGAGGGCTGAATAGTACTGGATCCCATTTAAGTGTCAAGTGCTCTCTGGATGCTCTGTGCCAAGTTTGAGTGAGTCCAGGGAAATGCCTAAATTGTAGAGCAGGAAGGTAGCAGAACTGTAGGGGTGTAACCTTGGGGAATGACGGTATTAGAGTCTCCAGAGTGATATGCTTAGGGCCCCTAGTCCCTGCTGTTAGGGAGTTAAGAGTGAAGCATCAGCCTAGGTTTGGCTGTGACTTGGAGTTACCATCTGGGAGACAGCAGGGGAGTTGCTTGGCAAGAGGGATGGGGCTCCGAGGCCAGGCCCAGAGCTTGCATGGCATCTCCGTGTCCTGCCTGTTATTGCTTAGGGCTGAGCACAGTGATTAACTGAACCCTGAGGGGAGCTTGGGGATCAGTGGCACCAGGGCCTGGTATCTCCTCTGAGGTGGGGATCTTGGGAAGAGGATGGTAGTGGGATAGATGTGTGAGGCGATGGACTGTGGGTCCTCAGAGAGAGACAGTTCATTGTTTCATCTGTCCCCATGTTGACAGGACAGTATGACCTTTGAAGATGTTGCTGTGCACTTCTCCTGGGAGGAATGGAGGCCCCTTGATGACGTTCAGAGGCACTTGTATCTCAGTGTGATGCTGGAAAACTTTGCACTTATGTCTTCACTGGGTAAGACTCTCAAAGCCTTGCAGTGAGTTTAATGGAGTTAAATGGACTGCACTATCTTGTAACTGAAGGTTTGCACCTTGACTAACAACTCCTCATTTTTCCCACCTTCCATCCCCTGGCATTCTACTCTCTATTTCCATCAGTTTAACATTTTTTGTTTAAGTTCCATATATAAGTGATATCATACAGTTTTTAGCAAAATGTCCTCCGGGTTCACCCATATTGTTGCATGTGGCAGGATTTCCTTAGTTTTTAAGGCTGAATAATATTCCAAGTGTGCATGTGTGAGTACACTTAGCTCTTGTCTTTTTGATGATAGCCATCCTAATAGATATGATGTAATATCTCATTGTGGTTTGTATTTACATTTCCCTGATGATTAGTGAGGAAGAGCAATTTTTCATATACCTGTTAGCCATTTGTATATTCTTCTTGGAGAAATGTCTGATCAGATCATCTGCCCATATTTTAATTGGATTGTTCTTTTCCAGCTGAGTTACGTGAGTATCTTATGTTTTAAAAAGATTATCCCCTTATAAGGTACATGGGCTTGCAAATATTTTTTCCCATTCTGTACATTGTGTTTTCATTTTGTTGATTATGTCTTTTGCTGTGCAGAGCTTTTTAAGCTTGAGGTAGGTCCACTTGTTTATTTTTTCTCTGTACCTTTAGTGTCATATCCAGAAAAATCATTGTCAAGACCACTGCCAAGTAGCATATTCTGTTTTCTTTTTCCAAAGAGTTTTACATTTTCATGTCTTATGTTTATCTCTTTAATCCACATTGTGTTAAATATTGTTAGAGGTGGAACTAGGGGTCCAGTTTCATTGTTTTGCATGTGGATATCCACTTTTCACAGTAACATTTATCGAAGAGACTTCTTTCCCTGTGGTGTGTTTTTGGCACCCTTGTCAAAGATTAGTTGACCATGTATGCATGGGTTTTTTTTTTTTCTCCTGTGTTCTTTATTCTGCTCCATTCCTCTGTGTGTCTGTTTTTATGACTACCACACCATATTGATTACTATAGCTTTGTAATGTAGTTTGAAATCAGAAAGTGTGTTACCTTCAGCTTTGATCTTTTTGCTCAAGATTGCTTTGGCTATTCGAGGTCATTTGTAGTTCCATGTGTACTCTAGGATTCATTTTCTATTTCCATGAAAAATTCCATTAGAATTTTGATAGGAATTGCATTAAATCTGTGCGTTGCATTGGATAATACTATTAATTCTTCCGGTATAAGAACGTTGAATATCTTTTCATTTATTTGTGTCAGTTTCTTTCCTCAGTGTCTTACAGTTTTCAGAGTCCAGATCTTTCACTTCCTTGGTTAAATTTATTCATGTGTATTACTTTTTTGATGATACTGTAAATGACTGTTTTCCTAATTTCTTATTCAGATATTTCATTCTTAATTTATAGAAAATGCAACTGATTTTTGCATGTTGATTTTGTATCCTACAACTTTACTGAATTTTCCAACACTTTTGGAGGGGGAATCTTTAGGGTTTCTATATATAAGATCATGTCTTCTGCAAACAGACAGTATTACTTCTTTTGTGATTTTAATACATTTAATTTATTTATTTATCTGTCTGTCTGCCTGTCTGTCTATCTGTCTGTTTTTGATTAAATGTTCTAGCTAGGCCTTCCAGAACTATGTTGAATAGATATGTGGATAGTGGGCACTTTTGTCTTGTTCCTGATTTTAGAGGAAAAGCTTTAATTTTTTTATTATTTATTTATTTTGGGGGGGGTAATTAGATTTATTTATTCAGCCATTCATTAATTTAAAGCGGCGACACTGGGGATTGAACCTAGGACCTAGTCCATGCTAAGCATGAGCTCTACCACTGAGCTATACCCTCCCCTCTGAGGAAAAGCTTTTAGATTTTAACCTTTGAGTATGGTGTTGGCATGGGCTTATTGTATTTGGATTTATTACATTGAGATGCATTCCATTCTATACTTAACTTGTTCCGGATTTTTAACATAAAAGTATGCTCAATTTTGTTAAATACTTTTTCTGCATTTACTGAGATGATTATATGATTTTTATCCTTTGTTCTGTGAATGTGGTGTATTATGTTTATTGATTTGCATATGAGGAACTATCCTTGCATCCCAGAGATAAATCACTCTTGATCACAGTGTAGGATTCTTGAATGTGCTGTTGAATATTTTGGGAATTTTTCCTTCTACGTTCATCAAGGATGTTGGCCTGTAATTCTCATTCCTTGTAGTTTCCCTATCTTGCTTTGATGTCAGGATAATGCTGGCCTCAGATATTGAGTTTGGAAATGTTTCTCCTTCAGTGTTTTGGGATAGTTGAGGAAGGATTGACATTAATTCTTCTTAAAGCCTTTGGTAGAATTCATCAGTGAATCTGTTTAGTTCTGGCTTTTCTTTGTTGGGAGATTTATTATTAATTCATTCATTCATTCATTTAAAAAATTGAAATATAGTTGATTTACAGTATTAATTTCAGGTGTACAACATAGTGATTCAAAATTTTTATAGATTATACTCATTTAGAGTTATTGCAAAACAATGGCTATATTTCTCTATGCTGTACAATATATCCTTGTTTATTATCTTTTTGGGAGGTTTTTGATGAATGATTCAATTTCCTTACTTGTTATTAGTCTATTCAGATTTTCTGTTTCTTCATGATTCAGTATTGGCAAGTTTTCAGTTTCAAAAATATATCCATTTCTTCTGGTTTATCCAATTTGTTGGCATTTAATTGCTTGTAGTTTCTTATGATCTTTGGATTTCTTCAGCATCAGTTGTGATGTCTCCTTCATTTCTGATTTCATTTATTTGAGTCTTTTCTCCTTCTAATTTAATCTACTAAAGGGTTGTCAATTTTGGTTCTTTTAAAAAACCAGCTCTTAGCTTTGTTGATCTATTGTTTTTCTAGTTTGTATTTTGTTTATTTCTGCTCTGATCTTTGTTATTTCCTTCCTTCTAAATTTGGGCTTAGTTGTTTATTTTTCTAGTTCCTTGTGAGGTAAAGCTAGATTGTTTGAGATTTTTCTTTTTCTTAATGTAGGCATTTATTGCTTTCAGCTTTACTCTTAGAAATGCTTTTGCTGCATCCCATAGGTTTTGACATGTTTTGTTTCCCGTTTTTGTTTGTCTCAAAATAATTTTATTTTTCCTTTTGATTTTTTTGTGTAACACACTCATTGTTCAGGATTGTCTTGTATAATGTCCATATAGTTATGAAATTTCCTGTGTTTATTTTGGTTTTGATTTCTAGTTTCAAACTCTTGTGGTTGGATAATAATCTCAATATAATTTCAGTTTTCTTAAACTTGTTAAAGTTTGTTTTGTGATCTAACATATAATCTGTCCTAGAGAGTGTTCTGAATCCACTTGACAAAAATGTAGTTCTGCTGTAGTTGGATGAAATATTCTGTATATGTTAGGTCCAGGTGGTCTAAAGTGTCATTCAGTATTTCCTTACTGATTTTCTGAGTGGACAATGTACTACTCTTTAAAAACAGATTTGAAGTCTGTTATTATTGCACTGTTGTCTCTTTCTGCCTTCCAATCTCTTAATATTTACTCTGTGTATTTAGGTGCTCTGGTGTGAGATGCATATATACTTATAATTGTTATGTCCTCTTAATAAGTCAATTCCTTTATCTTTATATAATGACTTCCCTTGTCTCTTATGACAGGTTTTGAGTTAGTCTTTTGTCTGGTGTAAGTATAGGCTATTTATAAGTGTAAGCTAGTGTTTTAATTTCCATTTGTATGGAATTTTTTTTTTCAATTCAGCCTGTTTGAGTCCTTAAAGCTGAAGTGAATCTCTTGCAGGTAACATATAGTAGGGTCTTCTTTTCTTTATCTTCAGCCACTGTGTGACTTTTGATTGGAAAATTTTGTAAGGATATTATAATTGCCATCTTGTTAATTTTTTTACATCTGTTTTGTAGTTCCTTTGTTCCTTTTTTCCTCTCTTGCCACATTCCCTTGTGATTTTATGGTTTTCTGTAGTGGTATGGTTTGGTTCCTTTACCTTTTGTGTATCTACTGTAGGTTTTTGCTTTGTAATTACCATGAGGTATGCATAAAACATAACAATTTATTTTAAACTGATAGCAGTATCATTTATATACAAAAAGTCCCCTTTTAGTAACTCACTCCCTTGCATTTTATATTTTTGATGTGACAATATATATTTTTATAATTAACTTACATATTTTATATGTTATGATCATTACCAAATAATTGTAGTTGTAGTTATTTTTAATACTTTTTTTACTAGAATTAAAACAAATAAACCACCATATTACAGTGTAAGCATATTCTGAATTTGACTACATACTACCTTTACCAGTGTGCTTCATATTTTTATGTTTTCCTGTTACTAATTAGTATCTTTTTATTTTGGCTTGAAGAAGTCCATTTAGCATTTCTACTAAGGCAGGTCAAGTGGTGATGAACGCCCCCAGCTTTTATTTATGTAGGAAAGTCTTTATCTCACCATCATTTCTGAAGGACAGCTTTGCTGGATAAAATATTCTTTAGTTGGCAGTTTTTTCCCTTTAGCATTTTGATTTTAACGTCCCACTCTCTCCTGACCTGCCTGGGTTTTGCTGAGAAATCTGCTTTGGCCTTACGGGGTTTCTCTTGTCTGTGATGAGTTTCTTTTCTCTTGCAGCTTGCAAAAGTCTTTTTGTCTTTGACTTTTCAAAGTTTTATTATAATGTGTCTCAAGTGAAGTTATTTTGGATTGAATCTGTACGGGGACTTATGGGTGTCATGTACCTGGATGTCCACATCTCTATCTTTTTTTTTCTTTTTCTCTGTGACTTATCGTAACATTTTGTGTA